CGGCACCAGTGGGGGCTCGACAAGATTCACAGATTGTTGCATAGTTTTTTGTGATCACAGTGTGGCTTATGATAAATGTAATTGCGACGAGCGGTAACCAAATCCTTTTTTATTAGGTCAGGGAAAATAACAGGGAAGAAGGAAAACCACTCGGATCAAGGAACGAACATGTTACGTAATTGAATAACCGACACAGTTTTCCAACACTGACTCACATATGGAAGGACCACCTAAGATTGCTCTCTCTCTCTGTCTATGGTGTTTCCTAGATATTGGGTAAAGTGCGTTCTATATCTTTTGCAATTCAAGTTGTCCGATTATCATTTCAAGATGTCTCCGTGCTGACAAGCCTCCCAGCGATGTGTGGATGACCACCATCAGCACAAAATTCTCTAACTCTCGTGGAAGTACGGGGGACGAATGTTTGACGAGCTTCGGTCATACACACCTCAATACGCATGAAATAGATATCGGGTGTTTATCTGGCAAGTAAGTGTATGTGTCCCTGCGTGTACGTGTGCGTGTCCCACTCCGCTGATATCAGTGAATCACACATGATCAACGGTTGGGCAATTGCTTACCGCCCTAGCATGATACTGCAATAAAGTTCTTAACCTATATCTCAAGCGGTCGCACTTGGGACAACAATCGATCATGCTCGATCGATATATGCATCAGTGTGGACCAGATTCACATCCAATTTGTTCGACACTTTCAGGTTATATTCCATCTCTGTGACACCACCACAGAACAAGCACCTTCAAGCAGTGAACAATCCAAGTGACTATTTTGACCATATTTTCGAAACCGAATGAGATATCTCTACCAAACCAAATACATTAGAATTAAAGTAACGCGGACTGTCAAAATATGCCATAGATTTTATAGCAGTTATGAAATTCCATAAGAAAAGACACGTTCGAGGATTGGAATGTTTTTTAAAAAAAAACCTTTTCTGAGTATGGGCTCTGAATTTGATGATCTTTATCGATGAAATCACTTAGCCTTACTTAAACCGGATGAATTAAGGGTAACATACGACATTCACAAGTAGTAAATGCAAACTGGATTCGAAAAATCGTATTGCCATTGTCCCCCCATTTCTCGATTCAGTTTCACTATGAGAACACCACCGTGGTCATTCTCAAAATAGTGATTACCGAAGCCACCGCCAACCAAAAACTGTAAAAGTGTTCGATTGCTTAGTAAGTATAAGGAGATCAGAACACCTTGTCCACAAACTGTAAATCAGCAGATGGAATGGTTCAGAATGTAGCGGATACTCCCCTATTTCGTCAGTAGTGGTTCACCTATACCATGATGAGTTAAGAGGTAACTAAAGAGAATGGAGCAGTTTTCATTAATAAAAAAACAACATTGATACTAAGTAAGATGTAAAAATTGTGTATACCATTAGTCGATTAGTCTGTCTTTGTTCTTTAGAACTTTTTCGAGTCTCTTCGGCATTTTAAAGGTTTTCATTCTTGTTTGCAGAATGGAGTATGAATGGCGAGAAAGATCTTCCCGTTGGATAGACGACAACGATTTCGTGCACTGTTTTTTTCAGAGTAATCCGAGTCAGGTCGTTCTCCTGTTTGGATGTACTCGGTTTACGGCCCCCACAAGCTGTTCTGGTTGTTGTTGTTATTCCTTGGATTATTCTTTAAATTGTGCTTTTGTTAACGTTAAAGCATTGGGCAAGAATTGATATGGAAAATCCCAGCTTGTGTGCTCGTACAATTCTGTTTCTGTTCTCTTCACTGAGACAACGGGAACTTTTGGTTTTAAGCGCCGCTTGCTTCATTATGGTGACAACAATACGAACATTTAAGGCTGTGCACAAAAATGACCTTGATTTCAAGGCTGACTTTGATTGAG